GCATCCCTGACAAATGGCCAAAGAAGCCTCTGCTTAAAGACCTCCAAAGAAGGAGACTCCACCACTCTCCAAGGGAGTGTCTTCCACTGTTGAACAGCTCTTACTGTCAGGAAATTCCTCCTAATGTTGAGGTGGAATCTCTTTTCCTCTAGCTTGCAACCATTGTTCTGGGTCCTGTTCTCTGGAGCAGTAGAAAACCAGCTAGTGCGCTCCTCAATATGACTTCTCTTCAAATATGTGAACAGGGCTATCATATCACCTCTTAATGGCCTCTTCTCCAGGCTAAACATTCACTAAGTCATTCCAGAACCTTCATCCTTTTAGTTGCCCTCCTCTGGACACACTCCAGTTTTTCAACATCCTTTTTGAATTGTGGTGCCCAGAACTGGACACAGTATTCGAGGTGGGGCCTGACCAAAGCAGAATACAGTGGCACTATTACTTCCCTTAATATAAATACTGTACTTCTATTGATGCAGCTTACAATCACATTGGCCTTTTTAGCTGCTGCATCACACTGTTGACTCATGTTCAATTTGTGGTCCACTAGGACTCCTAGATTCTTTTCACACGTAGTCTCATTAAGCCAGGTTATCCAAACACCAGTGGATAACAAGGGTCCACTGTATAGGTAGTTTCTATTTATACTTTCAGATAAGAGTCTTTTTCACCCTCAAACTTCCATTCTGTATTCCTCTGTTTCCAGACCCATCCTTTAAATCAGAGGTGGACAACTACCCAAGATTTGAGGGCTACACATATCCCATGCAGGAACTGAAAGGGCTGCATGACCCCATATACTTCCCTTTCCATGACCATGCTCTGTATGTGTCAAGGCCTCCTCAGTCTGCTTTAAGATTCAGGAGAGACCTTTTTTCCCAACCTCTTTCTCTAGGTTTTTTTTTTAATGCTGGTGGAGGGGGAAGGGCAATATTTTATCCAGATCTGCTGCAGTTGTCTACCCCTGCTCTGTACTCTCACACTGAAAAGCCATGCTTGGAAAGAAAGCCCATTGAAATCAATGGGACTTATTGTTAGAGTATAGCAACTTTTGCATGCTAAGAACTTTTAGGACAGTGATAGCAAACCTTTTTGGGGCCAAGTGTCCCAACTAAAAGTTTTTCCAGCACCAGGTGTTACCCAGTGCCGGGGGTGGGACTAGTCCCCCCACACCATTCCCAGCCTCCATCTGTCTCCAGAGAGACAGCTGGAGACCAGTAAAGATGGGGGAGAAGGAAGAACAGGCATGTGTGCCTCTTCCTCCTTCTCCCTGGCAGGTGCTGTGTCAAATGGAGTCACATGCCATCTCTGGCACGCATGCCATAGGTTTGCCATCACAGTTCTAGCACCTTAGGTACACATTTTTTGTGGTAATCTTTTGTTTGTGTTTACACATACCCCCTTTCTTCCACAAGAGCACACCTTTTTTATTCCAGAGTCCTCTCCATGCTTGCCTCTCTTTGCCATGCTTGTTTAAGATTCTGGCTAAGGAATCATGGGAACTGTAGTTGATTGTGGCACCAGAGCTCTGTGACAGAGAAGGCTCAATGTCCCAGAAAAAATACAACTCCCATGATTCCCTAACACTGAGCCAGGACAGTTAAAGTGACCTCAATCTGCATTATTTCTGGTAGTCTGTAAAGGTCCTAAGGGGGGAAGCAGACGAGAGCTTCCCAGACGCTTTGGGCTGGCGCGCCGCGGGGCCGCAGCCTCCGCACCTCGGCGCACCAGCAGTGTCCCTGGCGGCGTCCCTTCCTCAAGACAGGGGAAGCATCGGGCACACTTTCCCTGTCTTTTCTGCCGCAGTGCGTCCAGTCGCTGTGGCAGGAGGTTGCCCCCGGAGCACCGGCCATGCAGAGGGCCGGTGGCTCCGAGGACAACCTCAGGGAGAGGAAGGAGCACCGCGCGTGTGGCTGCTCCTCCTCTTCCTGGCCTCGGAGATGGCTCAATTAGCCGTCTGCCGAGGCCCTTAGTTCCTTTCAATACTTTCTACTAGATAGCATGTAGACTTTCTTCTTCCTTTATCTTCATTATGAAGCTGTGCCTGTGTACATGAACTATGCACAAGACCTCCAAAGAAGGAGACTCCACCATTCTATTTTTATGTTAATTTTACAAAAAAGACTATATTTTATTCATTTTACTGTGATAGTGCATGTGTGTGGGTGGCACTGGTTATGAGCTAGTCTTGCTCCTTTCCATGCTTCTATGACAACAGGCTCTGCTAAGGAGATTCACCAAATCTCAATTATGTCTTTTTGCTTTTTTACTAAAATCTAACACTTCTTTCTGAATAGACCTGTATAGGGCTGCAATATTAATATGTTATAGGTTGAGTGATCCTGACATATATATCAAAACATTAAAGGTCCAATAACTCACAGGTGTGGAGAAATTGCATATACTGCAGAAGGTTCTATCTCTGCTCCTTCCTTCTATGTTCTTTCCTTTATAACATTCCAGGATATAAAACAAGTAAAATAATGGATGTGCTCCTCCAGCAGCTTTGGCACTGAATTAGAGACTTGTCGACTGCCAGTTAGGACAAGAGAATTGGCAAAGGGCTGAACTGATGTGTTCAGTGATGGCACCACAATCAATTCCTTAGAATATTTAAAAGAGACAGTTGGCCCTCTGTAACCATGGATTCAACTGTCCATGAATTGAAAATATTTGTAAAAAATAAATTCCAAAGAGCAAACATTAATTTGACACTATTTTACTATGCCATTATATTCAATGGGATTTGAGCATCCATGGATTTTGGCATCTACGGGATGTCCAGAAACCAAACCTCAGTGGATAAAAGGACCCACGTTATATAGTGTTTCTGGGCAAGGATGTGCCAGTCCAACACATTTTGCTGCCTGAGATGGAGCAGTTCCACACGCTTTCTCATTAAAGCCATTTTGACATATGAGGAAAATTCTACAAGAGCCTCTTTCTCTTTATCCTGTATGAATAAAGTGCATTAATAGTACCTCTTGGTGACTTTTCACAGCCTTCAAAAACTGGCTCTACAGTGCTTCCTCATAGCAATGCCATTTGTCTGTTGCTTCATTATTTTACAAAATTAGGATGGAGAGAAGGCAGGTTAGAGCCAGCCCTGCTAACAACCAGTCAGGACTGAGCTGGTGACAGCCAACAGAATGCTGGGCTGTAAGGGGAAAATTCCATTAGGAACAGTTGGAAGTCAGTCAGGGTTTGGATTCCAGAGAGTGAGGGTCTGGTGGAGAAGGCTCCAGAGTGGGAGAGGGTTAAGGTCCAGAAGAGAGGGGCCTAAGACCTAGACTAAACTCCAAGGGAGGGAGTTAATAAAGGGAATATCCTAAGGGGTATTGATAGCTGAGGCTATTTAAGAAATAGTAAAGGTACCCAAAGAAGGGCTAAGAGTGTCGTGTGGAAGTAATTGAAAGTGTTCCAAGGAAATGAGTATTTTAGAGTAGTATTAGTTGTAACTGTAACCAATTATAACAAGCGCAGCAAGACCAAGCAAAATACAAGTGTTACTTGTGTTGTAAATAAAGTTTTGTTGTTATTTATGAAACACATGTCTACAGTGTGAATGAATATCTACGCTACTAAACCTTATACAAGATAGGTTATACCAAAGAGTTTTAGAAGAGAAGGTTGGTGAAGGAGTGGCTCTTTGCATAGGATGGTGGCAGCTGTGAGACAAAAAGGGTCCATGGTGTGGCCACAAATGAAAGAAACGAAAAAGTGTGCATGACAATTAGTTTTTCATAACTTTGCTGAATGTGAATGAAAACCATTGTGATATTTTACTGGGATATGGGGAGGCAGGCTTGATATCCTAGATTAGAATATTTCCATAAGGTATCTTGGGATGTTGCTTCAGGGGCTGGTTTTTTTCTGGGTTTGTCATTTTGATCATACACCCAGGTCACAGAGATGGCCTATGGACGTAATCACACGGGGGCAAATCTGCTGGTTAATCCACACAAATCCCAAACAGAAACTGGATTTGTGCCCCGCATTTTCACACGATATCGCACAGAAACTGGACAGAAAGTGGACAGAAACTTGTGTTAACCGAGATCTTTTGAAATTCAATTGTTTGGAGGAAATGCAAATGCGAAATTAAAGTAATTTTGCATTTACCGTAATGTGAAAAGCAAATGTGCATTTGGGAGCATTTCCTTGCTGTTCCCATGGTTCCAGCAAGCATTCCTCTATCTGCGCATGTGCAGGAAGATCATTTCTAGTTCATTTACGGGCTTTTCTCGCTTGTGTGTGAACGTTAAATGCGCTTACTTTAATTTTGCAATTAAGGCAATTACATGTGAAAGCCCTTTGTGGAATCAAGGTTTATTTTCCGTTTATTTTCAGAATGCCTCATT